TCACAAGCCTAACACCTCTTGGAAAACTCCACTGAAGAACCTCCATCTGGTACCCATCCGGGATTTTGCCAAAGTATTGAAATAAAACAAGCGTAAGCAACTACCGCTTAGCAAGCATAACATAAGGCGATGTAGGCTCAAAAGGCTTGACATGGCTGAACTACGGTAAGCACTTTTAGTTGGTCATATTTTATTATTAATCATAAGTTGCTAAGTTATGCTTAGGCTCCCGAATGTGAATAGTTAGAGATATCAGCAATTTAATCATAACCCAAACCACCCGAGTAACCAACTATTCAGTAAGGGTCCAGGTCGCTCGTGACCGTGAGCACGGCTGATATATCAGTTTTATACTCTGCAGAGATTGTACACTTTCACCATGAGTCGTGTTGCCCATATGCCCGGGTTTGCAACTCCCAAAACACTTCCAAGGTGAGCAGGCAGGGTACACTACGAAGCTTTTCCCCAGTCATTCTAATAAGGAGCAGTCGCTAAGGATTCCATCTCCCAAGTGTTATGGAGTCATCTTGTAACGCCCTAGAGTCCAAACGGCTCAGATCCACTCTGCACACTAAGCAAACCACACCTACCACCATCCCACTTACGCTTTTGTCCTCGCTTCGCGTAAAATGATTAACCCGGAGATGGTGGGATGGACTCTAGAAGCTTTATATGTTGGTCTATCCCACCTTTAACGACCAAGGTGGGACTAAACTCTCCACAATATCTCATTAACTTACATATGGGCCACTATGGGCCAAATCCAAACTAGGCCGGATGTCACATACACCCCCCTCAAAGGAACCGACGTCCTCGTCAGCCCAACACACCCACAACCGGGCAAACGATGACCAGGAACGTTCCCTCTTAGCACACGCAACCATGCGCCCAGTGCCGACACATGTGCCATGCCGTGCACCCCGTAGGGCCTACACGCGCAATGAACCCCATGTCCGCGCCCCTAGCCCACACGCGCCCATGGCCGCGAAGGTCAGCTCTGATACCATTTGTAACGCCCCAGAGTCCAAACGGCTCAGATCCACTCTGCATGCTGAGCAAACCACACCTACCACCATCTCACTTACGCTTTCGTCCTCGCTTCGCGTAAAATGATTAACCCGGAGATGGTGGGATGGACTCTAGAAGCCTTATATGTTGGTCTATCCCACCTTTAACGACCAAGGTGGGACTAAACTCTCCACAATATCTCATTAACTTATATATGGGCCACTATGGGCCAAATTCCAAACTGGGCCAGATGTCACAACTATGGACCCAAATTCCCCTTCCCGTGTTAGGTAACTAGATTCAATTTCTTGCAATCTCAATTAGCGTCTAGTTCCTTCTCATGCCTAGGTTTGTATTTGCATGTTTAATCTTTTGTCTTGCATACACTAGGTATATCTTAAGGTAGGCTTGCTCGGTATCATTCTTACCCTTGGAGCAAACCTATATGGTTTAAATTGCTTAGGAGCATGGCACATAGCTTGTTTTACAATTGTTTATCTAATATGTGCCAAAGTCCAAATTGTAGATAATTTCCCCCAAATATCACTTTTGAAAATGATTATCATATTCATGTGATGTCATCTTTCAAGTGGTATTTTTTATTCTAAAATCAATGTGTATGTCTCCTACAAGTATTCCATGCTTGTATGCACAAATTTAGGGGAGGTTACTCTATAAGCTGGATGCGTTGAGACTAACACTATTTCAAGCTTATCATGTGTGTAGTAGTCTCGTTGTAAGGAAAATGGAGACCCTTGAGTTAAGCATCATACTTCAAATATCCACCACCTATTGCATGTGGTATAAATCAAATTGGTTTCCATATGTGGTATTTCTAAACCGATATCATCATATTGATTTCACTTTATGCTTTCTCCATGCATTATATAGATTAAACTCTCTTGAGCATTAATTTGCCAATTATGTATAAACTACATCCTCCATCATATGTATGCATATATTTAGGGGGAGCTTAGTCTAGGTAATGTGAGAGTTAAATTTTGTGACCTATTCCACTCCACATACAAAGGATCACAAAGTTTGACCCTCCCTTGTGCTACTAATGTCTTCCTTTTTGGCGTTTGATTCCAAAGGGGGAGAATTTGTAGGGCCAAAAACAAGCACGATCATAATAATTTACAAGTGATAATTGTCTGAGAAAGGGAGAATAGTGGATTATGGAGTTAGGGGAGGCTTAAGTCCATAATGCCACTTTGGGACATTTACAAGGGCAAGAGAAGTTTCCAAAGTTTTTCACAAGTGATATCTTTTTGCATCATATAATCTTGCCTTTGCATTGCATCCTAGCAAGTAGATAGTTTTTTAAATTTTTGCATCTATTATTATTTACCTGCTTTTGTAGTGTTGTCATCAATCACCAAAAAGAGGGAGATTGTAAGAAAAATGGACCCTTGGCCCATTTACTTTGGATTTTGGTGTTTGATGATCAACAAGACCAAATTGGACTAATGTGTTTGTGAGTGTTAGCTTTGTAGTCCAATAGGTTGCAAACGTGACTTGGACGAAGGTGACATGGTGATCCAATGATTAACACCTCAAGCAAGACCCTAGAAACACAATAGAAGACCCAAGAAACCAAGCAAAGTACAAGCATGAAGACAGGAACCAAGCCGGATGCAAGATCGCGAAGAAACGAGCTCGGCAGAGTTGACCAGACGCGGCCTTTATAAGGACCGAACGCGTCCAATTTGTTGCTCGACAACAGCAGGCGTCAGCAGTAGCGACCGGATGCTGAGCATGGCAATGACCGGATGCACAAACTTCACTGTTCATCGTCGCGGCAACAATTCAGTGAGGACCTGACACAACAGGTGTGGACGACCGGACACGCCAGGAAATGGCGTTCGATCGAGTTCAGAGAGGCTCCAGAACGTCGAAACATCGACCGGGCGCGTCAGATGGTAAGCGACCGGACTCGCCAAAGTCTGATCAACAGTGAGCGCCAACGGTCGGCTTCAACGGTCGGGACGACCGGACACGTTCGATCAAGACGACCTGAGCGTCCAGTCAATGGCAAAAAGCTGGGTTTCATCCCCAACGACTACTTTCTCCATGGGACTTATAAATAAACCCCCCAACTGGCCATTGAAGGGTGGAGAGTTGAGGAAACATAACAAGGGTGTTGATACACCATTTTAGTTATCTCCACTTGCAGAGTGCTTAGTGATTCATTAGGTGATTAGCTTAGGTGCTTTGCAAAGTGCTTAAGTTGATTAGACCACCGCTTATGCGCTTTCTCTAGGTTTAGGCCTAGGGTTTATTGTGGTTAGGACACCTCTCATCTCTCGGTGCTTGCGTGCACCATTGTTGTGCTCGGCGGGGATTGTAGTCTTGTGAGATCACACCAACTGCATTTGTGGTGTGACCGCCACCGTGTACCAAAGGGAAGAAGACCCACGGCGGTTCGGCCGAAACCTTGATAGTGATGATGGCGGGGAGCGGTCCAGGAGAGGCTTGCCGGAAGTCACACCAGAGACCCACTTGCACGTGGGGAAGGCCCAGGGCTATCCATGGAGTTACCCGACCGGAAGCTTAGCCCTTGCTAGGGATTCCTTACGAGAGGCTCCAACGAGGACTAGGGAGAAGCTTGAGCGCTTCTCGATACCTCGGTAAAAATACCGGAGTCATCGATGGAAGTTTGCATCTCTATCTCATCTTTACCTTCTACATTTACATTGCTACCTTGGTTGTGTGTTTTACTTCTCTAGCTTAGTTGATAGGCTAATTGATAGGATTGGAACCTAGGTTGCATAACTCTTTTGCGGTAAAGATAGCAACACACCTAGCAAAACCGTAGTTGTACATTTAGATAGATTACTTTCTTGCATAGGTTTTGACTAGGTGAAATTAGAGGCCTTAGTTAGAAGTAGAATTTTAAGTTGCCTAATTCACCCCCCTTTTAGGCATCATGATTCCTTACAGAAACCACCAAACCCCTCTGATGTCGACGCGTGTCCGACCTTCGCCAAGCTTGACGTCTTCATCTTCCTTCTTGACTTGACCGACGCCATCTACATCTCCCATGTAGATGTGTGTCCGGCCTCCGCCAAGTGCCACGACGCCATCGTCCTCCATCTTGACTTGGTCGACGCCGTCTTCATCACCCATGTACTCTTGCTCTCGTCGATGTCCCCAAGTGTCAGCCATCGCGGCTGGTCACCCGGCCATCTGGTCCCTCGGTCCAAGCCTCACGTCTGTACTTGACCTTCACCTCGCCGTCGACCACCGCTTCTGAGCTCCACACCTACGCACCATAAGCCAAGAAACATGTTGCACAACTCAACTCATGCCATGGTTAGTTCACGGACTCAACTCAAGACGCAAGTCACGTTGACAATCACTTGTCACAACCGAACCACAAGGGCACATATCAACCTTGTGTTCGCAGTTGATGGTCTTGCCTGCTTTTGATATTGTTGTATGAATTCGCTTGAAAACTCTGTACAAAGGGGTGGTAATGGTAACCTTAATTACCATGGTCAGCAAAAAGGTATTCACACTTTGTTGCATCCAGCCAACCAAACAATTAGTGATCGAGACTTCACTTCAAACTTTATGTGTAAGATCCAGCCAACCAAAAATGTGACATACTCATCCAGTGTTTCTTCATCCAGTTAACCAAACAACAGGGTGTTGCATGGATTGGTCCTGGCCCAACTCAGCCTGGAGTCCTGGACAATCGAGTGGCGTATAGAAGTTTTGATAATATAGCAGAAGCATCCATTTATTACAACACACAAACTCACACTCTGTAAAAACAAGGAAATATCCTGAGAGCATACATTTGTTGGCAGCAAATAAATGCCGCTACACACAGATGAAATCAAGCTAGCAACATGCAGCAAATAAATAAAAGTATAGGAAACACTGGAATTAAAACAAGGGTGTGGAGCAGGGAACAAAGGTGATTGATATTATACACACACCAAACGAGTCATATATAGAGGATGATGAGAGATTCGCCAAACCAGCTAGGTGTTGGTATGCTCGACGCTGATGTCATCTGTAGTTTCCTCCTGGTGCGGTCCGTATCGCTCGCCCGTCCTCTGCAGGCGGTCAGCTAAGGTCTCCATTCCCATGAAGCAGAGTAGAAGCCATAGACGGCTGAGCAGCTCCCATCGCTCAGCATGGCTGACGGCGTGCATGTGTCCGCGGCTCCGTGTGGCTGCGTAGCAGAGCATCTCCACCCACACATCTTGCACCATCTCCCACGTCTCCTTCTCATGGAGCCGGAGCAGCTGGAGGAGCGCGTCGGCGAGCTCGCACGCTCTGGGGATGAGGGGCCCAATGCAGTCCCTGTAGATCCAAGAACCATTTTGAGCCATGCGGAAGAGCGCGCACCCGATGCTTCGGTCGTCGTTGTCGCCGTCGGCGGTGCTGAGCTCGCTGTAGTGCAGCATGAACTTGATGTCGTCCAACGCGACGGAGAAGAGGTGCTGCCTTGTGCCGAGCATCAGCATATCGGGCCATGTGGAGAGAAGGTACATCATGTAGGAGGATATAACGCGGGCGAGCTTCCTCGGGGACCCACCGGCGGCGTCGGCATGGTGGAAGCAGATCTCGGTGGCCACGTGCCACAGGAGGACGCTCTCGTCGAATGGACGCCGGATGCTTCTGAGCAGCACATCACGCTGTCGCTTGTGGTTGTGCAGTAGGGGCAGTCTCTTGTCCACCGCCCACTGGCCCCTGAGCTCGTTGAACCTCCTATACATGCTAGGGTCGCCATGTATGTACTCACCCAACCCTTTGTTGACGTGGGCAAGCACCACCTCGTGGATCAAGTCCGAGGCTGGTGTGTGCTCGATGTACCAGTGCCGGTTGACGTAGTCGCCGTAGCCGATGTACCCGGCGAGCCAGAGGAGTGTTGGGGGTTTCCTCCTCCGGCCGGCACTCGATATCAGGCTCTGTTGGGGAACCATGTTTTGCATTGTGAAATTAGCTGGCCATAGAACCCTAATCCGCTTCAAGGAGATGAAGTTTCCGAAGGAGAGAAACTCCAGTAGAGCAATCCCACTGAAGAGGATGTACGTCACTTTGACATCGACTCCATCGTCTTGGGACTTCGGGGTCCGGGCGAACAGGGCGATCGCCGCGACGGCCAAAGAGAAGGTGATGACCCGGACAACCAGGCCGATTGTTGTCGTGGCAACATTCACCCTGGTGTATAGACGGGAATATATCTCATCGAGCCCAAGCTTAACTGCACCTGCAAATCTATTATTCTTGCAACCATAAGTGAACATAAATTGCAGAATCTTCAGGCGTCGAGAGTAGGGGACAAGGATGTCGGCCGCAAATTCAAATATATCGTAAAGGTGCAATGTCGCTTGGACTCCTGATCTTGCTTCTTGGATCTTGTGCATGTACTCACTGAGGTCCAGCTCTTCTTCTGTTGCTTCCTTTTCTCGTTGGTCAACCACAGCTTGTATCTGCGCATCTGGTTCAGCGTCACCAACGTACCACTTCGTTTTGGTTGACGTCCAAGTTATCGAGAAGAATTCGCATGGATGATTGCTGTATCCAGTCAGGTTCTTCCTCTGCGGCACACTAGCCGGGGATCTGACCAGGTTTCCCAAGCAGGCCCTCTTGAGAGCCCAAGGTTTGGTGCTGAACTTGTAGATACCAATGATGAACATCAGAATGGCCGCTGCAAGCAGCCTCCTGTCCCCGGACCAGGACACGCAGAACACATAGAGAGCGATCGTCACCTGGGCCACCAGGGTGACGATGTGCCGCGCCCACAGCTCATTGTCCTGGATGCTGTAGGCGGTGATCTGCTCTTGACCGGCGAGATGGATGAGGAGGATGGGCGCCCACAGCACCTCAAGCTTGGATCCCACCGTGGCAGCGGCCGCCCTGCTGTGGCGGTTGAAGAGGCTGGCCAGGGCGTAGATTGCCACGGAGTCCCCAGCGATGTACGCAAGCCAAATGCATACCCTAATCCATCGCTTCACTGGGGCCCGCCTTGCCGCACCATAGAAGAAGAGGAAAAACTGGATTACGGTGCTGGCAAGGACGAGGAGGCGGAGCTTCCACACATCCCACCAATCCAGCGCACTTGAGATTTTGATATCCATCATGCACCTAAAATTGATGATTTTTGAATATAAACTTAGCATAACAGGATCTTAAATTAGTCTAAACATGATCACTAACTCAACTTATTGCGAAAATTAAATCTTAAACACTAACCAGAGTAGCAGCAGTGTCTGGCCAGCTATACCTTCCTCTCTCTTACAAGGTAGGCCCTTTCTTGCGTTGTTGGATGGGGGAAGCGTACCTGCGAGTAGGCCTATTTAATGGATCGGTGACCATCATCCTTGTATACATATGTGTGCTCGCAGGTACATATGCTTCCTGTGATGTGCAAACAAGTGTTTGTCCCAAAATCGGTGACAAACTTATGCCCCAAATGCTTTGCTTTACTTGTGATGTATAAATATGCTCCCTACTACGACCTACATACTTCCTTTTTCTTTTAGAGAACATATGTATACATCAAGGCAAGCAAAGCATTTGGGACAAACTTATAGCTCAACCCGCTGCTTTGCTAGTGCATGTGCAAATGTCCTACGCATCAACTAAAGAGGAAAAGCTAGCACATGTTTTATTCACGCTTAAGTCCCATAACAAAGAAGCCAATGCAAAGTTGCAGCGGACAAGACAAAATCAACTGCAGCCACATTCACGCCAGGTCCTACCTGCATTTCCAGCATATATATGGGATTTTGATTTCTTTTATTCATTCATTTCGTTTTGTCAAAACTGTAGATCTGTATTGAATTGAGAAACATATATATAAAAGCACGTTCTACAAGATTTTCCATTTTGTATATTCTGCTGTTTTATCGTACGTTATGTGTGTATGTTGTGGTTGCATATATAATACACCTTCGCCAAAATCTGTTTCGACACTAGGATTGCATTACTTTTTGCACCGTTGTCTGCTGGGTCCTCCACTTGTTCAAAGCATCAAAATATATCTGAGCACATGGAGTGTTGGAGATTTATCCATTTGATCTTTTCTTTTGATGTGCTATGCAGCAGCCTTAACTTTTTGGTTCATGCACACTTTGCGTGTTCGTTAGATTTTTCTTTTTACAAAGGGCAGCAAATTAAAGCTTTGCCATAATGTTTATGTGAAGAAGAAGAATAAAAACAAGTGTCTACCTAGTTTTCTGAGTGAAAACCTATGCAAAGATATTTATCTAAATGTGAAAATAGGCTTTCCTAAGTGGTTGTATCTCTGATCGTAAAGAAGTTATGCAATCTAGATTCCAATCCTATTTGCTTGCCAAGCAACCTAAACTAGAAAGGTAAGCATGGAACTTAAAAAATAATGTAAATGCAGAAGCTTAAATGAGTTAGAGATGCAAACTCTTGTTGACGATGGTATTTTTCTCTAGGTATCGAGAAGCTCACGCTGCCCCTAGTCCTTGTTGGAGCCCCTCACAAGGACGATGACGTCGCAAGGGCCAAGCTCCCCCAGTTAGGTAACTCTGTGGAGCCCATGGGCTTTCCCCACGCACAAGTGGGTCTGTATAGGGCCTAATTCTGCACTGCTCCCCACAGTCTTCATTCATGCATGATGTGCACCATACTTGGAGCTCGGCCTTGAGGCGTGCTAGGATGGTTGCCGGGATGATTCCACGGATGCCACCGCCGTCGATGCTCAACATTGTGAGAACCCTCCCCTGCTGCGCAGGCGGGAGCGCCATGTACAAGTTCGGAGCGCCGTTCATTCTACTGAGTAGCTAATCCTCTAGCTACCTCCCCTGCAAGTCGCAACCGCCGCTAGTGGTTAGAACCGGCTTTTTGCAAATGGGATTCTTGGAACGAACTCTGTCCACAGCTCCCGGATTTGCTGTATTCCACTCTCAAGGGCTTCCTATTTATATACCTGGAGTTTGATCCTCCGTCCTGAGTACGAGCTAGAGCGTATCCAATATGGTGTAGTCAACTGTCAACCAGTCACTACTGAAAGTGTAGAGGTCATCAGCCTATTACAGGACAAGAGACAAGAAACTATGTCTCCTAGCTATTAATTTGATATAAGAAGGCACACAGAACATATAGTTTATTATGTAGATAAAAAAACAAACTGTAATTATTTTGGACCAGAGATAGTATTTTGGATTATGGAAGAAAAATGAGTTGACTAGGATTGTTGGAAATCCCATTATTTATTAATTTATTTATTATAAAACTGTAACACCCTCTGCCATGTTTTGAAAATCACTAAAAATTTGAACTTTTTAAAACTTAATATGACCGCGTAGAATTTATTTTCGCCATGAGTAGAAGCCTCACAATAAAAATAAGGTTGCATGTGTGAAGTTGTTTGTTTTTAGTAGTTGCACTTATGGTGGTACAATTCCCTTGAAAGTCATTTCACAAATTCAGTTTGAAAATCATTTGTAAATTGTATGGAATAAATTCTGGGAAAAGAAAAAGGGAAGAGATATTTCTAAGGCAGCTCGGGCCCATTCCTTCTCCCTCTTTGCTGGCAGGCCCACTCCACTCCTCTCCTCCCCTCCCTCCCTTCCGCATGGGCGAGGTCCCGGCCGTGGCCCAGCAAGGCGCAGCGGCAGCCTCTCCCCGTCTCCCCCTCTACTCCAACTGACACGCGGGACCCGGCAGTCAGCTTCGTCCCCTCTGACGTGATTTCCGCGTCCGCGTCTGCCGGCCGGCCCCGCCGTCGTTCCGTCCCGGGGCTGGAGAAGACAGCAGCGCTGACGCCAGCTGTCCCTCTCCATGAACCGTCCCATCGCCACCTCTCCTTCTTCCTTGTGCTCCACAACGCGTCAACGCCAGCAGAGCAACCGGTGCGGGAATTCCACCGCCAAGCATGAGACCTCTCAAGCCCCCCTCACTCCCAGGACTGCCACGGACGAGAAGACACCTCCTAAGCTTCCAGCACATCGTCCTGCGCCCGGCTTCGAGCACGTGCGGGTGGAGATATTTCAGCGGGCGGGAAAAGATCTCGCTGCGGCCACCGACCTCGCCGGTCTATAAATAGGCCAGGCCAGCGAGCCTCCGCCCGAACCACCACCACTCTGACCTTCGCAGAGATTCGGAACACACCATCTCCCCCTCATTTTCCCTCCATCCTCCCTACCTCGAGCCCTCTCCCGTTTCCCCCCAAATTGAGTGCGCCGCCGCCGCCATAGGATTGGAGCCCGTTCCTCCCTCTCCAGTGCGCCACCGCTCAATTAGAAAGAAGGTGAGCCCCCAGGACCTCTCCTCTCCCTCCAACGCTTTCCCAAGCTTCCTCCCTAGCTCTGTGTTGCCCTGCCGCCGTACGACACCCGCCGCCGAGCCACCATTGCCGCCCCCGCCGTCGTCAAGGCACGGTCGGCCTCGGTCACGTCTTTTTCACCTTCCCCGCACCCGCAACCACCTCACACACATACCCAGCACATGCCTAAGCGCTCCGTGCAAGGGCGAACACAGCGCCACGCCGCCGCACCCATCACGATGAGCTCTTACCACCACCCCAAACCCGCTCCGCCGCCATTGACCCCACCAGCAACTGCGGCTCGGTACCTGGAATACCATCCACCAAGCCACGACGAGCTCTGGGCCAGGATGCCGCCGGCGACGTCGATTCCGACGAGCCCGCGCCCTTGCCCTGTCTTGCCGCCGCGTCGGACGCGCCCAGTCACGGCGCCGTTGTCGTCCCTCCCTCTCTCCCTCTCTGGTTTACGGGCCCAGCCCGAGACGGCGTCACCGCCCGGCTGAAGGGAGAGGCTAAGGAGGGCCCACGTGCCAGCGACCCACGAAGCCGATAGCCGGACCCCACTTATCATATCCACCAGCTCACGAACATAGTGCACCACACTGATAATTGCTAGAGTTACACAGGCAGTGTACACCGAGTGTTAGAAAACTATTTTCCCTTCATAGAAAAATTCCCAGAAAATTCGTAAATAAGCTAGGGACACCATAGAACATACCCACACCCTTGCCAAAACTTTTCCATTCATCCAAATATCTCCAAAAATTCTATAAAATTCCAAACACTATTTTTAAACCTCTAAAAATCATATCTCTCCCATTCTAACTCCGTTTTCTATAAAACCACCACTAAAATTCTTCTAAAACCCAAATCTATTTATTTCATCTTGTACCACCATATAGTTCCATGTTTGTTTTTGTGTTTGGCGGTAGCCTTATTAGCGACGATAGAGGACGGTGAGTATTAGGAAAACGGGGACCCAGACTAGTTGAAACGGAAGGAGAGCACAACGAAGGCAAGTCCTAACTCCCCTTCTCCCACCACCATGTTTCACCTTTTTCATCATGAACCCACTACTTTCCACTTTACCTAATAAATAACTAATAAATCTAATTTATATAATCCGTATTATTATATATATATTCATGAGGATGAATAATGTGAGATATTGTGACTCGATATGAGCTATTTGATATATTGAAACTGTGATGTGATATAAGCTCTTGTGATATATTTATAATATGAACATTTGTGATATGATATAAATCTTTATAATATTCTATGGACTTTTAATCTAAGGATGAACTTAAGAACCAAACTATGTGAATGTGTATTTTAGCAAACCCATTTGAGACAGGGGGCGAGTGAGGGGTAGTTTATGTGGTATAATAAACTACCTTGGCAGGATCACCAAGTGAGGGTTCCTATTGGTAGAAACTTGTCTCGGTCGCATAAGGACCGGTTCATAGGCCATCTCGCCTAGCCTGATATTCATACAGCCACATGTCTATATGGGTAGACTGAATCTCTCACCCCGTAAGATAGAAGTATAAATTCTACTAGGAGGCCGGCGTGGCAATGGACTATTAGGAGACGACACGGATGCTGGGTGATCTTCCATGGTCTGGTTGGCATGGATGCTATGTGGTCTTCCATGTAAAATTGTCATGGTGCCGTGTGCGAGCACCCATATATATATTTATACCTATTGGATGCTGTGTGATCATCCAAGTCTTTATCTATTGGATGACGAGTGATCATCCAAGTCGTTTCCGGCCCCTGAGAAGCAGTGGTAGAATTATATGAAAATCCAAGGTCGAGTCTTTCGGGTATGGGATC